ATATTTCCGTTTGGGGTGACCCGTCAGGGAAACCATCCAAACAGAACCACTTGATTTAATATATGGTGATTGTTGACAAAAAAAAAAAAGATCGTTCATTAATAAATTTTACATACTATGAAAAACATCTTATTTGACACAAATCTTTAACTTTTATATATGAATCAATATTCACTACACTTTCCTAAAAAAATGGTTGGTCGTCTTTTTGCATCAAATACGTTTGTAAAAAAAATCTATTAATCATACAAATTGTATGATTTGCTTCTACCGAGATATCTACATTATCTCAATAGAGATGTTAGAATGCATCTTTTTATTTATTTCATTAGAACCTTGAATTATAAAAAAAGAATAATTGATGTTTGATTGTATTTTTGTCTTACTCTATTTTTGTTTGGAATTTGTGATGGAGTAAAGTTTTATCGAAAGTTTTGGTTAGGAACGTTACTTTGTCCAACACAAATTATTTCAATTGCATTAGAGGGTGATTGGTAAATTGGTTTTAAAAGCAATAACAAGCATTTAAAAATGTTTAAATTCTAAATTTCTCTAATTAGACTTGTTTGATTTAACAGCTCTAAAAATCCTAAAATTATTTTTTAATTAATTTTTTCACATCATTTTTTTTTGTTTATGTTGTGCTTCTTTTTAATAAAGCTATTCTTTTGTGATTTTTTTTTAATTTTAAAATTGCAATTATCTATGTCAAAAGCAAAAAATTTACATGTTTTTTATAGAATATTATAGGATTTAATACATGTCAAAAAATTAGATGATACATATCAAAAACTTTGAAAAACCTTACTATCTTATATAATATTCTTATTAGACATACCCATGTGACTACTCCTCGAGTCTTGACCATGAATATCCTGTTTGCGAATAAAATATAATATTTAACATTTGTTTGACTACATGAAGGTCCCGAAAGTTAACAATTACAGTATCATATACAAATTTGCTATATATCAAACTCTTAATTATATGACACTATCAAATAACAGATAATTTTTCCGTAGAC